CCGATTAGACACAGAGAAATGATGGGAGGAACCAGTTGGAGGACAGCCAAGGAAAGAAGGTGTCAGTTTACATTTCTTAGCACAGAAAGTATTGACCTGATGTGTAGAGATCTTTCCTATTCTATTTAATTCAAGAGGGTTCTGGAGGCTTCTCTGTGTGCAAGAAGCAAGCAGAAGATTCATGATGCTTCGGATGTTCCTTCAGAGAAGCTGAGTACAGCTGGTTTGAACTGGTTCTGTTATCTCTTTATGTCAAGGTCATGCTGACCATAATAAGAGACCAGAAGGAGCCTGGATTTCACTCTCTCTCTTTCTTTCTTTCTGTCTCTCTTTCATTCTGCTGTTCTGTACATAGTGTGCTTAGTGTTAAGTAGTGCTTTTTTAAAAAAAAATGTTTAGGGGTACTCTCATTTTCCTAGTAAAGGTAAAGGGACCCCTGACCATTAGGTCCAGCCGTGGCCGACTCTGGGGCTGTGGCACTCATCTTGCTTTATTGGCCGAGGGAGCTGGCGTACAGCTTCCGGGTCATGTGGCCAGCATGACTAAGCCACTTCTGGTGAACCAGAGCAGAGCACGGAAACGCCGTTTACCTTCCCGCTGGAGCGGTACCTATTTATCTACTTGCACTTTGACGTGCTTTCGAACTGAAATACTGCCCCTCAATGAGGCCAAACTTAGATTCACAAAATATTTAGGGGTATGCATCCCCCAGAAAAAAAGCACTGGTGTTAAGGTTTAAGACGTATTATAAGTTATTGTAAGTTTAAGTGATGTCTGCTGCAACTGGACTTCTTATGGACAGCGCCAATTCTCAGTGTATTGGATTTGTGACCATTATGCTCATTTGCCTTCAGTAGCAGTAAAACTCTGCTGGATGAAATACAATTGCCTCTGATCTGTTTTTTGGGGAATCCTGCAACGTGTTTACTCTGCTAACTATACATTGGAATCTACTCTGGACCAATGCTGCGTAGACTTTCAATGACAGAAGGCGCAGTTATTACATCACATGGGTCAATGTTCCGAACAATTTTTAGAGACTTGATGCAGCAATTGTTACTCTTGGCACAGAATGCATTTTCTGGCCCAGTGCTATAACCTGCTATTTATTTACTTATTGTGACAGGAAACAAAAACAGGACCACCAAGAAATCTCTATGTGCGGAAGCTGTTTTGAAAAGCAAGGGGTTCTGTGGAACTTTCAGTGATATCCAAGAGTTTAGTGAGGCAAAGTGAAGAAAACTCTACAGACACAGAAAGGCATGTTTTGCAGAACTCTACTGGTTACACATGACTAGAGACTAAGGCTGACATCCAGTTGGGACATCCTGCTTACACAACAGACATTTATCCTTTCTGCTCTTTCCTCAGCCTCACCCCCACACCCCGAAATCTGCTCCAAAGAGTTGAAGGACCTTCTGGAGCAGGATGAGGGAGGGTGCTGGAGGAAGAGGAGGAAAGGGGTTCTATTGTGTCCACTAGCACGAAATTGGGTATTGTTCCTATAACAGGACAGAAACGCACAGTAACACATCCAATAAACTGCAAGTGAGTAAGCTTCACTCTCACTCCACCCACTGTCTGAAAAGAGTTGCAGAGCTCTTGCACAACCCTTCAGAGCCCTTTCTCAAATTAAGCCACGAGAATGGATCTTCATTATCCGCCTTCTGCCAGAAGAAATTTCTGGAAGTTTACACAGAAAGGTCAAAACAATTTCACAAAACTCTTACGACTGGCTGATGTGAGACAAAACTTGCACAAGACATCCGCAAGCTTTCCGAGGAATTCAATAACGTTTCAGCTTAATCACTCTCGAAAGCTTAAGGGATTATGCAATTGGAAGCGATCATTTTCACAGAGACAAATCAAAGCCTCGCACTTCTGGGAAGTGCAACAAAGAGCGAGGGATCTCTGACAGCTGTGGAGCGAGCAGCCGCCGTTGTTGTTGGAGCCTCTCTGACTCACAATGAGGTGGACCCAGTAAAAAGCTTTTTAAATACTTGGCAACTTCCGCAGTCGGGAGTGACTCAGGGGTTCATCATCACAAACCTCACTGTGTGCTAACCGACGGAGAAATGTTATGGAAAATAAATAAATAATGCAGCCCCAAAGGCTTGTATTTTTTGCTGGAATTTGGGAACAAAACGCATGGCGCTTACCCTACAGAATGTTGTATACTGACCTCTGTTCCCCCCTACATCAAGGGGTGGCGGTCTGTCTGACCAATGACATTTGTTTATCTACGGATTCATGCCAGGAACAGAAACTCTTTGGAAAACTGCTCAGAAAAGCTGTATCTGCTTTCACCCCAAGCTAGCTGTTTTTTTAAAAAAAAGAGAACTAGGGTAGGAGAGTGCAGAAATGAAAGACTGGCTGCTAAGAGCTGAATTCCCATCTCACCTGAAATCAATGCATTATTATCCCAGAGAGAGCATGAGGTGGTTGTTGTTGTTCTTGTTGTTACGGTGGTACCTCAGTTGTCGAACACTTCAGAAGTCGAACGTTTTGGTTTTCGAATGCTGACAACCCAGAAGTAAATGTTTCCGTTTTCAAACGTGCCTCAGAAGTCGAATGGCTTCCAAGGCGCATTTCTCGATTTTTTCATTGGATTTTGCCAACAGCCTATTGCACCTCAGTTGTCGAACGTTTCGGAAGTCGGACGGTCTTCCGGAACAGATTACAGGTACCACTGTATTATTATACCCCACCCATCTGGCTGGGTTGCCCCAGCCACTCTGGATGGTTTCCAACACATAAAAACATAATATAACATCAAACATTTTAACTTGCCAATACAGCGCTGCCTTCAGACGTCTTCTGAAGGTTGTATAGTTTCTTGGCTCAGGGGTTGCAAAGCTCCATACCCTCCCATACCTTCTAAAAGTTGTTTAGTTCTTTATCTCCTTGACATCTGATGTGAGGGCATTCCACAGGGCAGGTGCCTCTACCGAGAAGGCCCTCTGCCTGGTTCCCTGTAACTTCACTTCTCGCAGTGAGGGAACTGCCCAAAGGCCTCTGTGGTAGGATAGAATCATGGACTCATGGAATTGTAGAGTTGGAAGGGACCCTGAGGTCCCTTCCAGTACAGGAATCTCAGCTGGATCATTCATAAAAACCTCTAAGGAAGAAGAGTCCACCACTTCCTGAGGGAGACTATTCCACTGTCCAACAGCTCTTACTGTCAGAAAGTTCTTCCTGATGTTTAGTCAGAATCTCCTTTCTTGTAACTTGAATCACTTGGTTTGAGTCTTCCCCTCCAGAGCTGGATAAGGCTGCTGTGGTCTCTGTGGTCTGCCTTCATATGTTAGATTCCTGACAAGAAGCCCATTTGCCCACCATAACAATGACCATGTAAGAGAGGAAAAGCTGTCCTACTCCCCAATATTTCTCCGATGAAAATAGGGACGTCCTATCTAATAATAATAATCTAATAGGGACGTGGGTGGCACTGTGGGTTAAACCACAGAGCCTAGGACTTGCCAATCAGAAGGTCGGCAGTTCGAATCCCCACGATGGGGTGAGCTCCGGTTGCTTGGTCCAGCTCCTGCCAACCTAGCAGTTCGAAAGCACGTCAAAGTGCAAGTAGATAAATAGGTACCACTCTGGCAGGAAGGTAATTGGTGTTTCTGTGCGCTGCTCTGGTTTGGCAGAAGCGGCTTAGTCATGCTGGCTACATGACCCGGAAGCTGTACGCCAGCTCCCTCGGCCAATAAAGCGAGATGAGCACCGCAACCCCAGAGTCAGCCATGACTGGACCTAATGGTCAGGGGTCCCTTTACCTTTATTTATTATTATTTTTATTATTATTATTATTAGGCAGCTTCCAACATATATAAAACATAACAAAACATTAAACATTAAAAAACTTCCATATACAGGGCTGCCGTCTGATGTCTTTTAAAGGTTGTACAGTTACTTATATCCTTGGCTCAGGGGTCACATAACTCTATACCTCCAACATTCCCCTGATGAAAATAGGGATGTTCCAAGGAAAAGCAGGACATTCCATGATCAAACCGGAAACCAGGATAGCTTCTGTAAATCTGGAAAATAGGGACACTTGAAAGGTCTCGGCTATTGGGAAGAGGCAGCAAGTTGTTGAGCCTCACAGCTTGTGAGGCTTTGCGCTCTGATTGCCTGACGTCTCGTGAGAACTGGGATTAAGGCTGAGATTTCACGAGATGTTGAAAAAGAGCCAGGAATGCAGTCTACAAAGCCCTCAGCCCCTGTAGACTAAGGGTGGAAGAGGAAAGCAACACCCTCCTATATCTCTTCCTTCATCACCAGCCTGCTCAGACTTCTTCATGTGTCAAATTTCTCTGGTAGACCAGGGGGCGAGATTATGAAGGCTTGATTACCTAGTCCCTCTGAAGGTGAACTAAGCCTGACCGGACAGTTTACTCTATGGTTTTAACCACTTCATGCATTAATTAGACTTAAGCATGTTAGTTATATGAGGCTGGTTACCTCAGGACTTTAACATAGCTCTACATTGGAAACAGCATATAGCTGCTTCCACCCCCCACCCCTTTTCTCTAATGCATCCTTAGTCAGAATTGCATGTAGGTGAGCAGTTTCTTTTATATCTTACAGGATTGCTGTCAATCTGTGCATCTCTGCCTCTGCTCCTCTAGGCCTGTATAATCCCAGGTGAGCCAGTTTGCTGAGCCCACGTTCTGCATCAGATACAAAGTCCATAACCTTGACAAGGGATTCAAGCAGTAAGCAATCAATGAGGCAAAATCCATTTTGAGAATTTGGAGGACGGAGCAGCTCCTCTTCGTGCCTTGCTGAGAAGGCAAAATTATCTCCACAACAAATTACGTTATCGTCTAATAGCGGAGAAAGCTGCAACATAATTAAAAGGATGCATGCATGTGGCTACGTGGAGAATCTGAGCTCTGGGGAAGTAATCTCTCGGTGTTTCAGCAAAAGGCAGAGGTACTTTGGCCCATTTTCCCAGTTCTCTCTTCTGCATTTAATTCTTCCTGCGTTGAAGTCATGAGTATATGTGTGTGTGTGTGTGTGTGCGCACACACACACACACACACACACACACACATATATATATATGAAGGCAGCCCTGTTTAGGGAAGTTTTTATTATTTAATGCTGTACTGTTTTTAACATTTGATTGGGAGCTGCCCAGAGTGGCTGGGGAAACTCAGCCAGATGGGCGGGGTATAAATAAATTATTATTAATAATAATAATAATAATAATAATGCGCAATTATTCTAAAAACAGCTTCTGGTTGAAAGTACAGTGGTACCTCGGGTTACATATGCTTCAGGTTACAGACTCCACTAACCCAGAAATAGTGCTTCAGGTTAAGAACTTTGCTTCAGGATGAGAACAGAAATTGTGCTCTGGTGGCGCGGCAGCAGCAGGAAGCCCCATTAGCTAAAGTGGTGCTTCAGCTTAAGAACAGTTTCAGGTTAAGAACAGACCTCCGGAACGAATTAAGTACTTAACCCGAGGTACCACTGTACTAATGAATGAAAAAAGGAAAATGTTCAGAAGCCCAGAAATAACCTGGAACGAACAAATTGACTTGCTAAATGTCCCTTGTCTGAATCTCTGGAGCTGCTACCAATAAGTGTGGACAATACTCAGTGAGTTGAGCCAATGGCTTCACTTGGTATTAGCCAGCTTCCTGATTTCCTTTGCAAGAGCCTCCAGCCATGACTGTGCTTATTCTTTTGCTGAAAGATACGCTTAGAACAACATCATTGCCTAATGACAGGCTATCGCACTTCAGAATAAACCTTGGCAGCCGCTGTGTGTGAAATTTCAGCCTGCGCACCGCATGGTGTCCCGGTGGTCACACGTACGCATTCCCATGCAGATGCGCTACAGTCAAGATGCATATTTTTCCCCACACACAAGCGCACACCCCCACAGTAATTTAACTTCTAGAGACCCTGGAGAGGGAGCTAAACCTTGCAGAACGACAACACAATGTTAACAAGGCATCGCCAAAAAGCTAAGGGGGGAAGAAAGAGCGACACAGTAGGGGCAGTGATTTTACCCAGAAAAGGTAACAGAAAACAGGGGCTGTCCGTAGTAATTAGAGACAGCTGGATCTCATGAGCTTACCCCTGCGTGATGGACAGGCAGACTCTCAAATGTTATTTTTATAGGACAATACCTCAATCGAATTATACCGTCACAACAGCAGTGTGTTCTTTCAAGGCTCTTTCTTCTGGTCTGAGGTAATAAACAAGTCAGACTCCACAGCAGTATCTTCTATTTATATCGGGAGCTCAGGTTTCTTCTTTGTCACTTCCCAGCACGGCTTCAGTCCCGCGGCCTTTGTGTGCGAGCCCGAACAACCCCTATTTAGGTTTTACATGCCATTTTCCTCGTTGGCTCCCTTCGGTGCCTCTTCAGAGACGTCGCTGCCACATTTTCACCTAAGCTAGACAGTTTTTTTTAAATTATATATAAAGAAGGGTTCCTGCCAAGAATGGCTTCAGACATCATCAGGCTGCAACAAGCCAGCCTACCAGTTGACACCGGCAGTTCCTGAAGCACTGTTGCTTCACTGGAAATAGAAAGAAATGCTCCTCATAGACACTTTCTTTTGTCTGTGGCGGTAACATAAAAACAACGGTCTCTTTATTGAAGCCAACTTGATTCCATATTAAATTAATCACCCGCATCCAAGAGGGGGTAAAGGCTATAAAGTGAAGCACGGACGAACAGGAAATTAGAGAGCTAAAATTATCTGTTCTGTTCCCTCAGGAAGTCACCTATATGCTGATACGAATTCATGTCTTCAGCTTGTGAAGGTAATCCCACACCCTCAATGCAGACGAGAAACGCTTCGGCACACTCAAAGTAAGCCCAACTTATTTTTATTTTATTCATTTGTTAAATCTGCATACCGCCCTTTGTCTGTAGATCCCAAGGCGGTTCACAACATAAAAATACAACATGAAAACACAAAATACATGAGAGAAACAAGAACAAGAAACACAAACCCTTAAGCCTCCCTCCCTCCCTCCCCCACAAATACAAATAAAGGAAAAGAGAACCAGGAAAGCTCCAATAGCCCTATTTATTTATTTGTTGTACAGTGGTACCTCGGGTTAAGTACTTAATTCGTTCCGGAGGTCCGTACTTAACCTGAAACTGTTCTTAACCTGAAGCACCACTTTAGCTAATGGGGCCTCCTGCTGCCGCAGTGCCGCCGGAGCCGATTTCTGTTCTGAACCTGAAGCAAAGTTCTTAACCTGAAGCACTATTTCTAGGTTAGCGGAGTGTGTAACCTGAAGCGTATGTAACCTGAAGCGTATGTAACCTGAGGTACCACTCACTGTATTTGTAACCCACCCTTTCTCTACAAGGTACCCAATGTGGCACATGTAGTCCTCTCCCTCCTCATTTAATCCTCGCAACAACCCTGTGAGGTAGGTTAGGCTGTGAGGCAGTGACTGGCCAAAGGTCACCCATTGAGCTTCATGGCAGAGTGGGGATTTGAACCCTGGTCTGCCAGGTCTTATTCTCACACTCCAACCACTACGCCACACTGACTAAGTGGCATGAAAAGTCGAGTGACAGAAGGGGAGGAAACTGACAACTTGGTGTGAGGAGGGAATAGACTGGAACAGGACATATGGCAAGAAAGGACCATCACATTATCTGGATAGGTCACTTCCTGGGGTGAATCTACACTGGTTGGTTTTAACGTTAAAAATGTGTTATAAAAACGTCACAACAGAGGGCGCTGCAAGGCAGCAATCTATTGGCAATGGGAAATTGCATTGAGAGCTATATAACAGGTTTTTTAAAATAGCCTTTAATAGGGTTTTTACGTATCAGTGTAGATCCAGCCCTGGTCACACGGACAAGCAATTTTTGAATGTTTCCAGGGGAAGAAGAGAGGGATACATTTCTTAATAAATAAGGGTGGTATATAAATCTATTGATAAATTTAATAACAGAATCACTCCACCCTGCAACATATTGTTTGTGGGCTACAGAGGCAGTTTTAGGATAGCATGACTTGTGCGACTAGAGGGGGCACCACAGAAATGCTGTAGAATGGATTACAGGGGGGTGATTTAGCATCACGCAGGGCGCCACTGAAAATTGAGAGCTCAAAGTCTGCCACTGCCTCACGTATACACTTCCCCCCATTCTAATATATGTGCATTACTTAAAAAGGCGTTCTTCAATTAACATCACAAAATATAACAACAATATCAGCCATATACAGCCCATAATATAACTATCACGTGGGACGCGGGTGGCGCTGTGGGTTAAACCACAGAGCCTAGGACTTGCTGATCAGAAGGTCGGCAGTTCGAATCCCCACAACGGAGTGAGCTCCTGTTGCTCAGTCCCTGCTCCTGCCAACCTAGCAGTACGAAAGCACGTCAAAGTGCAAGTAGATAAATAGGTACCGCTCCGGCGGGAAGGTAAACAGCATTTCTGTGCGCTGCTCTGGTTCGCCAGAAGTGGCTTAGTCATGCTGGCCACATGACCCAAAAGCTATACGTCGTCTCCCTCGGCCAATAAAGCGAGATGAGCGCCGCAACCCCAGAGTTGGCCACAACTGGACCTAATGGCCAGGGGTCCCTTTACCTTTTATAACTATCACGTTTTTTAAAAAGTAGAACAGGAGCAGCAAAGGTGACGAGAACAGGACCACCAGATAAAACAGGTCCCCTCTGAAAGCAACACACCTGAAAAATTAAAAGCCTATCCCAGAACTATCCCCGCCCCCAATAAAAACTGGAGAAAAGCAATCAAAGATGGAGCCAGCTGAAACTCATGGAGCAATAGAGTTCACAGTACAGTTGTACCTTGGAAGTTGAACGGAATCTGTTTGACTTCCAAAACGTTCAGAAACCAAAGCGTGGCTTCTGATTGGCTGCAGGAAGCCAATCAGGAAGCTGCGGAAGCCCTGTCGGACATCCGGGTTCTAAAGAATGTTGGCAAACTGGAACAGACACTTCCGGGTTTGTGGCATTCGGGAGCCGAAACGTCTGAGTACCAAGGCTTGCGGGGTCCAAGGTATGCCTGTATTATTATTTTTAATTCTAGATTTTCAAACACAGAAAATGTATTTGCTGAATCTCTATACTGCCCTCCATTTCAATAAATTACGAGCATGGATTTTATGTAATGACGTCTTGGAATATTAAAAAGTATAATTAGAAGGATGCATTTGTTTTCCTCAGCTCCACAAGTAAGGATATGCATAAATGTGAACGTTGTTTTAAGAGGCAGCATTCCCAGAGTACTGGATGTGGATGAATGCAACAATTGGTTGTACTGTAGTGATCTTAAGGGAAATCACTCTAATATCCAAAACTGGATGTCATAAATATTCAAACAAGTGGGAGCTACAATAAAATGTTGCAGCGTGAATCGCTTCGCCATGACATTCAGCTCCATTTCTTCATGGCTGTGTCTCCCATACTGTTCCCCGTAAGCATTTCATGGAAACTGAGCAAGCTTGGTCTTCATTGCAGGGCTGGATTTACCTGTATTTTTCGCTCTATAAGATGCACCACACCATAAGATGCACCTAGTTTTTGGAGGAAGAAAACAAGGAAAAAAATATTATGAACCTCAGAAGCCAGAACAGCAAGAGGGATCGCTGTGCAGTGAAAGAAGCGATCCCTCTTGCTGTTCTGGCTTCTGGGATAGCTGCGCAGCCTGCATTCGCACCATAAGATGCACACACATTTCCTCTTACTTTTTAGGAGGGGAAAAGTGAGTCTTATAGAGCAAAAAACACAGTGGTTTTGATGAGGCCCTAAACTACTGAAGGTAATGGGACCCTTTATATGTCCAGCTGTCCTTTGTCAACAACAAATTGTCGCTGTTTTTTGTGTTGAATATATGCTATATGGTCATTTATGGACCTAATAGGTATCTAAAGCCATTTGCACATGTTGCCATGCAACTAGTCCATACAGAATGTAGGCACCCTATATATTGAAATGAGCAAACCAGTGATATTTTAGGGAGCAGGCTAGCAGGCAGGGCCTGTTACTTACATCATAGGAGCCTACACAACACAAAAATCTGTTGCTGTATGTAGGTTTTA